GACTCGGTGCGTTCTACATAGTCTCCCTGAACACAAGACCAAGTTGCGACAACGAGGTCAACGCACTTCTGAAAGATAAATAGTTTAGTCAATTTCTATAGGAAATACAACTCTGCTTCGTCGACAATTCCACTGCAAAATTGTGATATAAGAAAGGCCTGGGCTCCCTTGAAGTGCACTTCGGCCACGTGACCCAAGGGCACTCATGACAATTCGTTGCATTGGTTATCGCGCCGTGATTGTGCGCTGCACTATCACGGTCCTAGTCCTACTGATGGGGCTGGTGGGACTAGTTCAGGCGAGGTCGAAACTGTGGTCCATTCCTGCCAGTGGATGAGAATACCTTCTGGGCAATTCAGTGGAAGCATGGGGCCTATAGCATTTTGGGCAACTTCAACCACCAGTCCTTCATCTACTTAAACGAAATTTTGCTGTTATTCGAATTTTCATTTCATATGCAAGTTTGCTATCAAGGGATTCCGTAATTTACTTCATTCTAAACCGAAGGAAAATAGAAATGGATTGCCTTGGGGTGAAGACTTTTTTATTTGGCAAAGAAGTCACGGCTTAACGTCCTGCGATCCCTGTGTATCTGTGTTGATCTTTTGTCTGTCCTGTGAAAGATATGTTAGGCGATAAACAACATTTAAATTGAAAAAAACACCAATACACTAAACCAGGCTAACGTGGCTGGCTGCAATTATTCATACTTCTTGTACCTGATTATGCTGACTACTTCATGTTTACACTATATGCCTGCAAATGGATGAAGTTGCTGCGTGAAGAAGCTGGGGATGTGGTCAGTCTCTGACGGGGCAAATTTTCCTTTGAAGTGAAAATTTGATTTACATTTAATTATTAAAAGATTCTTCAGAGTCCAGCTCTTATATAATTTTGCTGAAATCGGTTAAAATCCAGCTGAGTCACTCAGCCGTAAGTGTATACTCTGAGATTGCTATCGGGATCATCTAAACTTATGTTCTTTGAGGCTTGTCGAGCTTTCCATTCCTCATTGGAGCTTTGATGCGAGATTGCTACTAAACATGTTTCGAGCACTCAGCTCGGCCACCGTGTACCATTCCTTTTTATTTATTTATTTATTTATTTCTCTTGCCAGTCCATTCTATATATTTTTTCGTGCACCCTTTATCGCTGTTGTTGCTTTATCTTATTTTGGCTTTCCTAACTTAGTTTACACATTTCGCTTCTTTTTGTCTTATCGTCGTCAGGCCAGCGTGGAACGGGCTATGGGACTGCCTGTTCTTCCATTCATGGATCCTGCTAAAGTGACCAAGGCCGGCAGTCAGATCGGTTTTATAAAATTCGTTTTGCTTCCTCTCCTCGAAGAAGTAATCATCCTCTTCCCCAGTCTCAAGGTGAGCTTTTGTTCGTTCAGACAATACCTTGGGTCTCATTCACTGCCTTCATTGCTAAGCCAAAACTCTGTTTCGTGGATTAAGCGCCATTGTCCTTATCACGACTCTCACAAAAATGACTGAGACACTTTGCTAGATCCAACATCATACCTAAAGACATCCTCTATTCACTTTGAGGAATCCTTTCCAGACCTTCAAAGCTTCGATTGTTAGTTGCAGCAAGTTAAACTTGCTAAGCATCGCTCTTAAAATATACGGATACGATGTTTTCCGTTAATTAGTTCATTGTAAATAACATTTTCAATTATTTTCTCATTATGTCCTCCCCTCTAATGATTGTTTTGGAGTTATTCATTCTTTGATTTGCTTCTACTCGAATTTATTTATCTTTTCCTCCATCTAGTTTCCTTCTAACTTCATCGTTTTTATTTGTCTTATCCATGTCCTATTGTCATTTTCGTCTTTCACCTTTTCTAGGAGCCTATCCTCGATCCGGTTAAACGGCAACTCGAATTCTATCAAAAACAACAGCACAATCAAGAAAATCAAAACTTGCAAGACCGGTCACATTCCGTCAACTTTCCTGACAATTCGCAGGGCTCTGGATCGGAAAAACAAGTCACTTTGGTGCTACTGCGTGAAACCAACCCTCCACCTTCCGCTACACTTTCTATGGCCAAATCCCCTGTCTCTGCAGCTACAGCCGCTTTGAACAGCGAAACGCTCTCTGGCCCCACAAATCTCTCGCAGGCGGGTCAGACGCAAGCTCGACTGCTTGACTCTTGCCTGCAAGGCCTCTCTAATGGAATTGCAGTCAATTCTAGAGAATCAGATGTTCATGGGCCATCCTGCTTGACCTCACGACTTACCGGAGACTCTATGGTCAATTCAATGCCTCTGTCGAGACGCAACACATCTGGTGACGCCTGTAAGCCTTTCCTCAATTTTCTTCATTTTAATTTTCTTATCTCTTTTATTCTACCCACCCTTAATTTCGGTGCAGAAATGTTCTCTCTACATCGTTTAGACGTAAACTTGATAGATTGATGAAAACAATGGCCCCCTTAGACGCAGGCTTAGGCGTGCCAATTGGCCTACTTCGTCTTGCCTTCAGAGTGAACTGTAGTTTTGGGCGTACTCGGGTCTCATTTGTACCCGAAACGGGATTCGATCAATTTGTTTTAGGCCTCACGCGGCAACAGGTTAGCGCCTAGCTACGCAGTCCGAGGGCATTTGTGAATTCAAAATAAAACCAATCCTAGCCTCTT